AGGTGACACGCAGGGAAACCCCCGGGGAACCCCCACACCCTCCCCGAGCAGCTCACGCGGGCCTCGACCGCCAGCAGCCACACCGAGTGCAGGGCAGGTGGGCACAGGTGGGCACAGGTGAACACAGGTGCCCCCCCAGGTGCCCCTCAGGTGTCCCCAGGAGCCCCCACCTGCTCGTCAGAGGCCAGGTTGGAGAACATGGGGATGATCTCGCTCTTGACGTGCTCCAGCTCCAGCACCTTGGCGAACTCGCCCAGCTTGGAGGCGGCGGCGCGGCGCACCATGGGCGTGTCGTCCGAGCACAGGTTGCGGAAGTACCTGCGGCCGAGGGGGGGCACAGGGGTGACCAGGGGTGACCAGGTGTGCCCAGGTAAACCCAGGGGGCACCCAGGGACCTCCTATGGGGGCGGCCAGGCCGGGCGTTGAGGCCAAAAATGGGGCGAGGGCTCAACGGGATGGCCTCGCATTGATCGAGGAGGTCAGGGGTTGGGATGGGGACATCAAGGCTGTGTTGGTGACCCCAGGGTTGTGTTGGTGACCCCAGGCCGGGTCGGTGACCCCAGGGTTGTGTTGGTGACCCCAGAGTTGTGTTGATGACCCCAGGGTTGTGCTGGTGACCCCAGGACTGTGTTGGTGACCCCAGGCCGGGTCAGTGACCCCAGGCCAGGTCAGTGCCCCCCCCAGCAGGGTCAGGCCCGGCACTCACTGGCGCAGCTCGGCCTTGACGGGGCTGGACACGCGGGGGTAGCAGACGCTGAAGAGGCCGCAGGCCGAGGTGCGCGACGTGAACCAGTCGCCCCCCGCCAGGCGCTTCACCAGCGGCACGAAGTGCCCCTCGAGGTCGGGGGGCGAGTGCTCGTGGGACACGGCCCGCAGGGACTCCACCGCCTTGTCCCGCACCACCGTCTCCTCCACCGTGGCCAGGCTCTCCAGGGGGGGCTGCGGGCACGGCGGGGCGGCACCGTCACCGAGGGGCGGCCTGTGTGCCCAGGGGGCACCCAAACCACCCTGGGGGCACCCAAACCACCCCAGGGAGCTCAGGAACCACCTGGGGGACCACCCAAACCACCCCGGGGGGCACCCAAACCACCCCGGGGGGCACCCAAACCACCTTGGGGAATCACCCAAACCACCCCAGGGGGCACCCAAACCACCCCGGGGAGCTCAGGAACCACCTGGGGGACCACCCAAACCACCCTGGGGGCACCCAAACCACCCCAGGGAATCACCCAAACCACCCCAGGGGGCACCCAAACTGCCCCAGGGAGCTCAGGAACCACCTGGGGGACCACCCAAACCACCCCGGGGGGCACCCAAACCACCTCAGGGAATCACCCAAACCACCTCAGGGAATCACCCAAACCACCCCGGGGGGCACCCAAACCACCCCGGGGAGCTCAGGAACCACCTGGGGGACCACCCAAACCACCCCGGGGGGCACCCAAACCACCTCGGAGAATCAACCAAACCACCCCAGGGAGCTCAGGAACCACCTGGGGGACCACCCAAACCACCCCAGGGAACCACCCAAACCACCCTGGGGGCACCCAAACCACCCCAGGGAACCACCCAAACCACCCCGGGGGCCACCCAAGCCACCCCATGAAACCCACGGGCCACCCAAACCATCCCACAGTCAGTCAGTCCCTCATGTCCCCTTAAACCATCTCAAGGTCCCTCATGTCCCCAAGGGCCACCAAACCCACCCCAGGGTCCCTCGTGTGCCCAGTGTCACCCTCACAGGAGCCCAGCGTTTGGTTTTTGGGGTTCCCAGGTGTGGTTTTGGGGTGTTTTAAGGGTATTTTGGGGTCTTTCAAGGGTATTTTGGGGTCCTACCAGCAGGCAGTGCACGAACTCGGGTCCCCCCACGAGGGCAGTGAAGGTCCCAAGCTGCTCCGCGAGCGCCAAGAGCACCTCGTCCTCATCATAGATTGTGTCTGTAACCAATAATCAACCAACCAATCAGCCCAGCTGTCGATCGATCAATCGATCACCCCAAGCCCTGCCCATCCACCATCCAGTGCTGGCTTTGGGAGGTTTTGGGCCTGGTTGGGGGGGGTTTTTGCCCCACTCCAGCCCCGGGGGTCCCTGTACCTGTGAGGAAGGGCAGGAGTTCACTGCGGGTCCTCTCCACCCCCAGCGCCAGCGCGATGGTCGAGAGCTTCTTGATGCTGTTGAGTCGCAGCTGGGGGAGGAAAAAAAGGGTCAGGAACTGCACCCCCCCGGGGTAAAAACCCTCCAGGGGGAAAGAGTCACAGAGATGGGGGATAAAGTGGCGCCTTGGGGGAGAAATGGGGCCCCCGGGGGCAAAACAAGGCCTGGTGGGGGTGGATTGAGCCCCCCCCAGGGGCAAATATTCCCCCCAGGGATAAATTCAGGTGCTCCTGGGGAGGATTTAAAAGTGATGCACAGAGGGGTAATTAAATCACCCCCTGGGAAATTAAATCTCCCCCGTTGGGAACGCCCCCCCAAAGGCCATCCAGCCAATCAGGAGCCTCGTCTCAAGACCCCCCGCGGCGACGCCAAGGCAGAGACGAGCCCCCCCATTGGCTCTGCCCCGCCCCTCCCACGCCGCACCCCAGCCAATGAGCAGGCGCCACTGTCACCAGGCGTTGCCCCGCCGCCAGGGGGCGCCACGCTGGGGAGAGGGAGAGTTTCGGACCAATCAGAACGAGTGTAACAAAATTAAAGGGGCCCGGAAACCAATCAGAGCGTGCCTTTCACCCCATCGTCGTGAAGATGAAACAAGCCCCCCTAGATGTAACGCCGCTCCCCATTGGCCCGCGCCTGAGGGGGGAAGGCCTCCGCGGCCAATCAGAGCGGCTGTCTCAGACGAGCGACGGCGGGCGGGCCCTGCGGCTGCGGAGAGACCGCGAATATCGCGATAGGGCCCCGGCTATCGCGACAGGGCCCTCGGATATGCCGGGGAACGGTACCTGCACGTCCTCGTTGCGGAGCTCGTCGATGAGGACGGCGATGGGGTAGAGCGAGTCATCTCCGTCCGCCGCCGCCATCTTGGCCGCCGCCCCGGCTCTGAAGGGCCGCACGGGGCCGCCCGCGCCACTGCTGCAGGGCCAGCCCACCGCTCATTGGCTGGAGCCGCCAGAGAGCCCGCCCCCCGCGTCTTCCCATTGTTTTGCGGCCCTGCCTGTCAGCGCGGGCCCCGCCCCCTGCGGACGGCGCTCCCCGTGATTGGGTGGAGGGATTTGAGTGACAGCGTTAGGGGCGGGGCCTGACGTTGCTTGGCAACGGGGCGGGACTGGGAGGAATTGGGGCAAACTGGGACCGGAGTGGGACAATTTGGGACACAGTGGGATAAATTGGGACAAGTTGGGATGGACTGGGATAAAATGGGAGCAGAGTGGGACAATTTGGGACACAGTGGGATAAACTGGGACGGACTGGGATAAGCTGGGACTGGACTGGGATAAGCTGGCACAAACTGAACTGGGACAAGTTCGGGCATACTGGGCCCCACCGGCCCCTTCCAGGTACCCAACTGGTCCATACTGGTCCCACCCCACCAAACCCCCCAAAACAAGTGGGCGCAGATGCATCAAGCCCCGCCCACTTCTGACCCCCCGCCCACCCTCGACCCCCGCCCCCACGGACACAATGACGTCA